CAATATTTACTATTTAATTATTTTTGCATATAATATTATTGCATAAATACTTTTAGATGCAAATGTTACGCTTGAAGACAGAACTGGATGTACCTACTTATCGTACATAAGAACAGAGGAAGAACCAAAAAAAAAAAGTCTTCGTTTTTTCTTTTTTTGTATCTCATTTGTACTACAAATTGAAGGGAGAAGATAAAAAGGGAGGGGAGCAAGGGGACAGCTTAACTGTTTTTATAAATGAATAAATCAACATTTTTGGTAGATGGAAAAGATTTTGTGTACTCAGATGCTCACTTGTAAATGTGGCATAATTAACAGCATAAATTGGTTATTTGTCATAATTTTAATAGCTTCTAAGTACCTTTTTGTTTTGTTTTATTTCGTTTTCTTTTGTTTACATTGTCAATGTTCTATAAGCCGAATTTCGTTTTAATTGATCAGTTTTACTGTTATAAAATTGTTTATAAGTCTTTTTTTTTTCAAAAATATTATAAAGGGCGAAAGATTTTCAATAGTTTTGTGGAAGATGATGATATCTATAAAAACAAGTGCTTTTTTTAAGCTGAAACATCTGAAGTAGTGAGCGAGTCGCTACTAGCTGTAGAACCGCCGCCGACTGTTCAACAGTTTTCACGTGTAGGTTCTATCCGACGAGCGCTTACAGGATTTTTTTCTGGTTTGTTTCCTTTTTTTTTCTTTGGAAATAATAATGGAAAAAAGAACAGTTATATAAAAACAATTTGTCACAGATGAAAGGCAAAATTAATGTAGATAATTTTTTTAAATATAGATTTTTTTATCTAGTTGTTATTGATTGTATTTGACGATATTAACTTCGAAGTGAGGAGGAAGTTTGGATCTAACATTTTAGCAATTTTTATTTTTTTCTTTTCTTTTTTGTCAGTCAATGAGGGGGGTAAGGGAGGTAGTGGGAAGTCAGCAAAAACTTTAGCCTGTTGTTTTGGCGGAGAGGGATAGAAAAAGCCTGAACATTATCTTTTTATTGACATCAGATATATGTATAATGCATTGCATTGTCAGCGTAGTTTTTTAGCTTATTTTAATCTCCAACAGGAGGGTAAGTTTTTTTTTTCTTTATGGCCTCCGTAAACGCGTTGAGTACACGAGGCGGTGTTGCTTAAATACGAATCAATGAATGACAGCTTATCTGAAAGCTCATCTCAATACAGTGGTTGATTTTAAGTGACCCGTAAATTATCATTTGATGTATCATCATCATCTTCATCGTCGTCATCATCATCATCGTTGTCGTCGTCGTCGTCGTTGTCGTCATTGTCGTTGCTTCGTTTATACTGTTATTCATTCATGTGGCGCTTAGTTATTTCTTTTTGGGTTTTTTTTCTATTATTATTTATGTTTGTGCTCATCTTTCTAATTTTGTGATTCTTTTTTTTTTAGCGACATAGCGACAATTTGAAACGATTTGCTGAAGCATGAAAACAGTTGCAAAGGGAAAAAGAAGAGTACTGTTACAAACACAGTTGTGGTAACATACGTAAATATATATACACACACACACACACAGAACGTATATATCAAATGGACGTACAAAGACACAGACGTTCGTTGTTGTTGTTGTTGTTTTTTTTTTTTTTTTTTTT